GCGCCAAAATAGGTTCCTCAAGAAAAGGGAGGAACAAGGGAAAACAGGAGGTTTTCCCCGTGGACCGACCCGTGACGAGATCCTATTCTCGGGCCTATAACAATTTGGTATCAGAGCCAAACGTCATGGGCGATCTGGAGCAGTTGACATCTAGGGTCCACGAACTGGAGCACAGGCTCGTGGAGAACAGCACGGAGGTACGCGAAATCAAGGATGATGTCCGAGAGTTACAACGCTTGATGGAGTTGTATTTCTCTAACAAGGAAAGGAATCTAGAAGGGGCTACAACCACAAACAGCCGCCGACCAGACTTGACGGAATCATCCAGCGAACAGCTGGTCGTTGCCCCGGTAGCCGCGGTCGTTCCCAAGTACAGTAGACTGGAGTTCCCTTCTTACAACGACACCGGAGACCCTTTGGGGTGGCTTTACCGATGCGAGCGGTTCTTTCGCAACCAGCGGACAGAGGACAGAGACAAGTTTAGCCTAGCTGCATTCCACTTGACGAAAGAGGCGCATCTCTGGTTCTATCGATTGGAACACGTGGGACCCGGGCTCAGTTGGACCCAATTCAAATCTTACTACCTTCTCAGGTTTGGGCCCCCATTAACAAGCAACCCATTAGGTGAACTGATCAACCTCAAACAGACGGGAACGGTGGCTGAATACTAGCGCTAGTTCCAGACCCTCCTTGCCAGAGCAGCATCGGTACGACCAGACCAGCAGGTAGACATGTTCACCGCAGGGTTAGAAGAACCCTTGAGGGTGGATGTGGAGATGCAACATCCCCCCAACCTAGTTACAACCATGAATCTAGCTCGCGCCTTCGAACGCAAGTTGCAACTCAGCCGCGAAACCTTCAGTACAGGGTGGCCGCCAACATCATGGGCACCCCCGAAAACACCCGGAATGGCCCCTTCTTCTGTAGCCAGCCAAGAACAGAAACCATAGACGAGCAACAATTCCAGATCGACATCCAGTGTGGGGAGCAACGTTGTTGCACCCCCTATTAAGCACTTGTCCAGGGCTGAGATGGCGGAACGCAGGGCGAGGGACAGTGTTTCAATTGTGATGAACTTTACTCAACAAGGCACAAGTGCAAGAGACTTTTCTGCCTCCTGGTGGAACAAGAGGAAGATGAGGATGAACCCCCTTCATTGGAACCCGATCCATGAGGGCAAAATCATTCTACCTATCTTGGATTCCTTTGACTTTGTTTCAAGACACCTATCCTGGTTTCAAGCTTGAGGACAAGCTCTTAGTCCAGGAGGGGAGTAATGATGTGGACGCGTTTATTGGGAAGAAGTATCGCCGCCGGCAACAACAGTAATTGGGTGTTCTCAGTTCTCATCTTATCTAATTCCAGCTAGATACAATTCTATCTTGTCTATTCATCATTCTTATCTTATCTGTTTTCAGTAGTAGGATTAGTAGGGAGTCTTATCTATTCAGTGTTGTTATCTTATCTTTTTTCAGTAGTAGGATTAGTAGGGAGTCTTATCTATTCAGTGTTCTTATCTTATCTGTTCAGTAGTATAGATTAGTAGGGAGTCTTCCTAAAAGCAGGACTCTTATCTCTTGTAATCTCCTATTTAAGGACCTGATAATATTCAATAAAGGCATCGGAAATTTCAGTCAAGAAAAGAGTGAGGAGAGTTGGTGATCTCTTGAACAAATCACCATTAAGGCGCCAAAATAGGTTCCTCAAGAAAAGGGAGGAACAAGGGAAAACAGGAGGTTTTCCCCGTGGACCGACCCGTGACGAGATCCTATTCTCGGGCCCATAACAGAAGCCTAGTTAGGAGGGTTTTTGGAGAATTTTTGTGGAGGTTTTCATCCTTAGTTGAAGCCCAAGGTAGGTTCTTGGAGATTTTCCCAAAAACCCTAGATAACTTTAGAAATTTTGTTATAGGTCGTAGGGACAGTTTGAACCAGGCGCTTGGGGATCAGAGATAAGCCTTTTGATTTCTATTGAGGACGGTTTTGGTTAGACTGAATTTTGGAACCTCTAGTAGGAGTGGTTGAAGTTTCTCTCTAATCCCCTTGATCTCTTTTATTAACTTAATTCTAAAATTAAGTACAATTACTTGGATGCCCTTAATGGGGCGGCCAACACTAAAGAAATAATTAAAGAAAACACAAAAAAAAGCCCATAACCAACAAACATAACCTTAAAACTACTTAAAAGAAATAAAAAACACTAAAGCCCACTCTCACTACAGGTCTAGGCTATCATTTCTTTTGTTTCCTGTTAAAGATGCCATTTAGGGCACTCTCTACTGTTGGAATTAGATATATTCAAACACTTCTCTTTTAAAAGATCAGTAACAGTGAAAATATCATTAAATATAAAATAACAATTACAAAGTAGCAGCAGGATGGTCAGCCTCAACTAACCATTCCTTTTACAATCTAATATGACAAGAAAATATTATAACTTGGCCTGAAAAAATGATCCCTTGTTTTGCTCAATAATCAGCCATAGAATTGGCTTTTCTCTGTACCCATTGTACAACAACTGTCATGTTACTTGTCAACCATCTGAAGCATTTAATTTCATTCCTGTAGGTCCACATAGCTTCCTCGTTGTTCAGGAGGCATTTTATCACCGCCTTTGAGTTCCCTTCTTTTTGTTAGTCTTTATATACTGAATTCCATTGCTCTTTTAACCCCTTCCAATACAGCCAACATTTCTGCCCTCAGTGAGTTCCCCACCCCAATTGCTCCAGAAAACAGAGATATTATGTGGCCTTCTTCATCCCTGAAGACCCCACCTACACCTGAAAGTTCCAGGTTTATATATGCTTCTTCCATCAAAATTTAAATTTATAAAGCCCTCATGAGGTGGTTTACATTCTTTAAATGTGGTACTCTTGGTGACTGAGGTTTCAGCTGTCTCCTTCCATTTTCCCATAATATCATCAGTTATTGAAAAAGGGGAGAATAGGTTGGAAATTTTCACCCAGTGTGCCACCTTCACAATGATACACTCAAGTAGTGTCTCCTTGTCTCTTGCTCTTTATAAATTCTTGCATTTTGTTTGTCCCGTACCATCCATAAAACAACTACTCTAGTACACTGCCGCAATAGCCTTGCTCTCTTCTAACTGTTTCCAAATACAATGCACAAAAAGGATAGGAGATTAGTAAGTGATAGCAGCTCTCACCAGAAGCTTTGCATAGAAAACACAAGCTTGGGGATGGACAACAATTGGTCACCTTTTTTTGTAGAAGATCAAGACGGTTATTTTTTTTTTCATGGAAAACTTCCTGACAAAAAGCCTCAACTTTGGGGGGGGGGGATAACACTACACCAAACTTCCTTTATTGGGAATGGCTGCTATTGCATGAAAATCCAAGTCCTTAAAGAAGGGCACACACGAGAAAACCCTCAAGGAGTTGGGTCAAATGTTGGCATCTGAGGTAGAAGGATCAAGAAAGATTGCCTCCAAACAATGAAGCAAGGAAATAACCACCTGTGGCTCAGAGTCTTTAACCCTCTTCTAAGCCCCAAGTCCCAGTTAAACCCATTAGAAGACGAGGAAGAAGGCACAGTGAATTTCTTAAGGGCAGAGAGGGAGAACAAAGATAGAAAATGGTCTTTAAGGGTAAATCACCCAATGGAGCTTGTTCCCAAAACAAAATTTTGTCCCTAGAGTGGATATCATATTTGACCTAGTTGAGAAAAGAAGGTAGGATGCTGTAAATTGCTTACCATGGAGAAGAGTCAGGAGACCTTGTTACTTGAGCAGAGAGGCTTGCATCCCAGCCATTGTCCCTCACACCATGAGTGCTACTTACCATTCTGCTCCAAAGTTATCTCTGTCTCTAGGGAACCTCTATAACCACTTCTCAAGCAGGGCGATGTTCTTCTCAATCAACCCTCCCCTCCCTCTCCCCCCAATTTAACCCGCCTTGCATTTTACTTTTGCACACTAGTTCCCACTTCACCAGAAATATATTGGAACACACTTCTTGTCATCTATGTTAGTGTTTTATTAGTCTGGATGGGCCATTATTTCTGTAAAGTATATGGTTTTAGTATCCTCATGGTTATGAAGTCATGGATTATTTTTGTTGGATGGTCATGCTAATTGTGTAATTGTCTATTTCTGCACTGGCAGATAGCTTTTCCAATCTTCCCCTTTTGATTTATACTGATTAGATCTTTCCTCAATTTTTGGGAGATACACTGTCAACATCGGCAATACTTTTAGTTTATGAATGCTATATCTTTGAGATAAACATAGCTAGTATAAGGTTTCTTATAGTTGTTACAAGTCATTTTACTTGAAATTTTAGTTGCTCATACTGTGCGTTGTCTCATTGATTTCAAGGTGCCAATGTGAGGCTAGGCAATAGGGGGGCACTTTGTTGCCTAGGCACCTGGGTAGTGGATTTTTTTTTTTTTCAATAAAACTTTGAATCCCTGGGTTATTCCCTAGGTTCCATTAATCATCTTTCATTAGTAATTATCAACATTTTTCATAAAAAATAATAACATTCATATTAGAAGTTTAGAACAAGAAAATCAACAAAGAGCGAAGTAAATTAACATATTCATGAGAAGAGAAATAAGAAAGAAGAGAGAAATTTGAAAATATAGGGGCTGAATATCGTTTTACTTGGAATTTCTTTTATTGAACATAAAGTTTCATTCAGACCTTACTTCTTAGAGGTTCATGTTGCTCTAACATAAAGGTGTGATTGCTTAATGTTGGTTTTAGCTGTCTTTCACAAATGGCTCCTAAACCTTTGGAATTTTATTGCACAAAGGGCTATTTCTCAGGCTCAATCTTGCATTCTAACGTTTGTCAGCCTAACATTTTACCATAGCACAAAGCAGTAGCCCCTGTTTGTGTTGCTCTAAAATGAGATGGGAAAACAAATCCTGTTTCGGCATTTGCTCACACAACTCTTTTCTGTTTCAAAAGAATATTTTGATATCATGAGATCAAAGCCTAACCTTTTCAGCTTGCAGGTATGTTCCATCTTTCATTCCACCTCCTTTGGCAACCAAGGGGAAAGAACCCGAAAAGAAGGTCAGCATGTGACTATGGGTGCTATTTCTTTACTGGATAAGTTATTCTATTTTATGCTATACAAGTTCCTGAAACCCTATAAAGTGGTTTTTCTTCTCTTCTGTTACCTGAACTTTCTAGATTATAACTTACAGAAGGATGAGGAGAGGCCAAAGGATAGAGAAAAAGGGAAGTCAAGGAACATAGACAATTTTATGGAGGAACTGAAGCTTGAGCAAGAAATGCGGGAAAGGCGGAATCAAGAGCGAGAAGGACGCCATAGTGAGCATTCTGCTGTAAGTAGTTTTTGACATTAACTTCCTAGTACATGCTTCTGCTCACTGTTGGCAGCAATTGTGATTGTTTCCACAGTATCATCATAGTTATTGTTGTTTTTATTTGCTAATTCACTGAGTTTGTATCTGAAGCAGTTGCTTATTGATTTGGGTCTTATTTTGGTAAAAAAGAAAATTTATTAAATAAAAAGGAAGAGTACATTAACCAGGGTGATGAGGAATCACCACAACTTTGACTCTAAAAGCAACTCACAAAGAGAAAAACAGCAGAGTAAAAAGAGAAAGTACAAAGTTAACTGCTTGAAAAATCCCTCTCGAAAAAACCCTAAACCAAACTAAGAACCTCCTTTGACATCCCTTTAAATTTTGGAAGTATAAGACCCAAAGTGAAGATCATCTCTTCTTCAGAGAATGGATTCAGAAAAACTTTTGTTCTTTAAGACCCAAACTTATTGATTTGGGTATTTAACTGCACTTATTTATGATTGTTTCTTTTTTTTTTCCATATGATCTTTTTTGATTTATGGTTCTACATTCCTAATGGTATTGAGAATGAATACTTTGTGACTCCAGTTCTATTTCATTTCATGTTTTATATGTAATGGATCATATGCCATTTACTTAATATTTCACTGAGGCATAGATAATACCTTACATAACTGATATTCTTCTGTAGCCATCTAGCCGATTTGATGAGCTTCCAGATGATTTTGATCCGAGTGGGAAACTTCCTGGGTCCTCTGATGATGGGGATCCACAAACTACAAATCTATATGTTGGAAATCTCTCACCACAGGTGACATAATATTCTTCTGTATCATTCTCTTGTTCCTTAATTTGCTTTGGTGGTGGTGCTTTGGCAATTTGGGGTCTGGGGAAATACTAATTGTTTTTTACTTGGTCCAACTCTTGTAAGGTGGATGAGAATTTTCTCTTGAGGACTTTTGGAAGGTTTGGGCCCATAGCCAGTGTAAAGATAATGTGGCCTCGGACAGAAGAGGAGAGGAGGCGGCAAAGAAACTGTGGTTTTGTTGCCTTTATGAATAGAGCTGATGCACAGGCTGCAAAGGATGAAATGCAAGGTTTATACCTCTCTGGATGTTGCATGGGGAAGACACTTGTTGCATGATTGTTCTCATAAATTGGTTCCACATTTTCTATGGATGAATACATGTATTTATGTGCATCTTCCATTTTACCTTGACAGATTATTGTGGATGCAAAAATGTGGCCTTCCTAAACTGGTGAAATGATTCTATTTGTCCCAATAAAAATGACACCCTAACTCTCAGTTTGGAATTGGATGTTAAAATTGCACAATTGCCAAGTACCTTTCGTCTAACTCAAACAGTTAGGGTTGGGTTCAGATCTTTCTGCTGGTCAGTTTAACTAAAGCTACTCTGAACATATATTTCTAGTGTCCCTGATTGGTATATAAGCCCTAGGGTTGGGTTCAGATTTGTATATTGTGATCCAATAAACTCTGCATCCTCCACGATCCAATCTGACTCTCAGAAATTGTCAACTAGTCAACTAGCTATTCAATTCATGGCCATAATGACTAAATCACCAACTAGTCAGTTGATACTCAAGACTGCTGCATAAGACAATTAAGCATCAACAAAGTCAACTAATGAGTACTCGACCTACTCAACTACAAAGTTATTTTAAAGCTGTACTTGCATGGCTTTGTTTCTTGTTATGTGAAATAATTCCATACAGAGGCCATTATCCAATGTTTTTTTTTTTTATCCAATGTTATTCCTAGGTATATGGGGCATTGGGAGGGGTGGATTGGTATGGACCTAACCTTTTTTTTGTTCAATAAAGGGCCTCTCTTAGGCTTGAGCCTATTTTCTCATGCCTATTGGCCCAATATTATACCTTTGTATTGAGCAATGGTCCCTATTGAAATAATATAATATATTATTTTATTTTGTCATACTCATGTTAGTTGCTTTAAGTATAAAATAGAAAGGGGGCATAAAAATAAAGAATGAACAGTGGAAGCATTCTTTTAGGCTTTATTCCAATTAGTGATATGCTGGATGGATTTGCTACAAATAGGGGAGAAATCAAATGGTCAAGGTTGCACTTTTCTTTGAAAAACAAAGAGCATTACTCTTACCCAACTTTATTTTTTATGTTTACAAAACAAAACCTGTTATTTCTTCATTGCTTTCTCAAAAGTCAAAACAAATTTGAAAATTGGCCATTGTTGATTCTTGAAGTATTCTCTATTTCAGGAAACATTTTTTTTATTTTTAATTTTCTCTCGTGCCAACTTTAACTCTTTTGCTGATGTAATGTGTGGGGTGCAGTTGAGAAAACATAAACAGGCTATAACCAAACCAAGTATAAATTGATCTTTTTTTCCCCTGTAGAAAAAAAAATGAGGAAAATAGAATAACTGTATGGGGTCTGTTTCCTAGAAATTACGATTAGGAATAATGACCATGATACTGAAACACCCCTTAAGTGTTCTATTATTCTTTATCATTTTATTACATATTTGTAGTTAGAGAATATCTTTCCTGTGGTAGACTAGTGAATTCTTAGGCTCCTACTAGTCATTGCATCAACAAGGAAAGCCAAACTAGTAATCATTTCTCCTTGTTGAGTTGCTTTCCATCTCTTTTTATTTCTTGTTGTTCATGTTGAACTCTTCGTAATTGGGAAATTACCTTATATATTGACAAACTTAAAGTGTGTATTTGGCCATGTATGGTAATCCATTGAATATGCCTGCTTATGCAGAACCTCATATTGTATTGGGTCCATCTTAAGAGAGTCAACTCAAATCAACTAAGCCTTGTCTCAACTACATGAGCTTGTCTCATATTAGGAGAGAGTCTAGAAGGATTAATTGGCATGGAACTAGTGCAACTGTTACCCTGATCTGATTATGATATGTCAACAACCAGCTGACAGCCCTAGCCTCACCCTGCTGTTGGCACTAGGTTCACAAATGGCTGAAGGGAGAATTCTTAGTGATGCTTTGTCTTCTTTTCCAAGTAATATGGTTATCTATTGTTTACTGCATAGACAAAATAAGTAATAAAAGAAATATCGTGTTCAAACATATTGGTGGTATTCTATATACAGAAAGAAGGCCACTTATCTCTATGTTGAATTGATGGGAACGGATTTTTTGGGTTTCATTGAGTCTTTGATTGATATTACACATTTACATGGTTTACTGATTCATTTGGTCTGTTCTTGGCTTTATGCCTAGTAATCACAACCCTTTTTTTGTAGTCTATTTTTGGAAGAGGTTTTTGTAATTCGCATTTTGAGTTTCTAGAAGAGTCAAGCATAAACCTCCTCAAGAGGAGGGGGGGGGGTTAGGGGGAAGGAGGAAGGGGAGGAGGATGAAGAGGAAGAGGGAATCTCATTTTTTCTTTATTTTTAATAAAAGTTTTTATATTAAGAAGAATAAAGATGCATAACCTTAGTTGAAAGGGGGGTCTTGTTGAAGCGGAGGCGAGCGAGCAAACAAAAATGGAGTACCCTTGGAGTCTGTTTTGTTAGAGTCTATTGAGACAAGGGGAGAAGAGTGTAGCGGTTTACTACTCCATGTTGAAGTTACTATGGCAGGAAATTGATGTTATGGAGACAGTTGTATGGGAGAGCACATAGGATGCATGAAATTTGAGTTTCTTACAAGACTCAACCCTGAGTTTGACATTACTAGGTAGAACATCCTGGCCAAAGATGAGGTCACTCTTGCTCAAGCATATTCTATTGTAAGTAGTGAAGAGAGTAGGCAGCAAGTACATTTACAGGGACTACCTACAGAGCACTTTGCACATGCTGGAATAAAGCCGAAAGGGCCGACTGAGAAGAAAGAAGTGATATGTGAATACTGCAAGGAACCGAAGCATACTAAGGACACTTGTTGGAAACTTCATCCAGACCTTCTCCCAGATAGGTTTCGGAACAACAACAATAATAACTTTAACCATTCCCTGTCAACCATCCATTACAATTGATCCCATTACAAATGATCCCTAACCACCCCGTGTTTAGCCAAAACATCTGCCCATTCATCAGTTGACCTCCTTTCCCATTGTATTTTTAGATTCATCCCACTTGTTAACCATTTAAACTGCTTCATCTCCTCTCTATAAACCCATCTTACTGCCAATCCATTACCTGTTCTCATTTTATCTGTTTCCTTGTCATAAAGGCAAAACATTATGTGTCACTGTACAAGAGCTGCAATATAGTGGAGCTTTTGAGGCAAAAGAAATGCAGGAACTTTTGGGAATAAGAAATCAATTGTAATTATCTAACATAACTCATCAAGTAAGAAGCATCCGTTGGATACCAATATGTGATGATTTGAAAGGAATCACCATGGATAAGTTAATGCAAGGTTGGTGATACACTAATAGAAGACAGCAAATAATAGTAGATTAAGGAACTCCAAACCAAGGACGAAGTAAATGAAATTTTGATGGGCACAACTTAGGCAACTTTGTTTGGGGGGGGGGGTCAGGTATTGATGGTTTAGTTAGGGATGATAGGGGAAACATCTTGCTTAGTTTCTTAGGGCTTTTTGGTAATGGAAATTCTATGAAGGCAGATCGGATTTACAGGTTGAAGGGGACTGTAAAATTATGGTTAATTGGATGATTTCAGGGGAAGAAACAGTATGTTACTAAAATTTCTGATTAGAGAAACAAGGGCTTTGAGTACAAGTCTGAACTGCTTGTTCAGGTGTTTTCCAAGAGCTGCTAACAGCTTGGCTGATTCCCTAACAAGAACAGGGATCATAAAGGATAATCTAGTATGGGGCACACCAAGGTTTTGGGTGGTTTGTAAAGATTTTATTATGTTAAGAGCTGCTCTACTGTAACTTCTGTGGATCACCATTCCTACAATAGTTTCTTGGTGCATTTGGAATGGAAGAAATCAGAGAATGTTTGAGAATAAGAGCTGCTCTACTGAAGAAGTCACTAGAAGGGTGATTCGGTCTTATTATTCCTGGCTAGCTACAACAGAACATACCTCATTATTTATTTATTTATTTTTTGAGAATCATATGCTTTTTTCTGATATTTTGATCAGACCAGGTGGTTTAGCCTGGTGGCATTTTTTGTATAGTGATTCACTGTACATGGTTGCGGCATATAAATGAATACAATACTTGACCTTTTTCTCAAAAAAAAAAAAAAGAAACAGAAAGGGAACTATTTCATGGTGTAGCAGGAGCTTTTTCCCAATAAAGTTACATGTTATTTTTGCAAATAAAAAAGGAATACCTGAAAGCCTGCATGTTCTATACATCCGTGTACATTCAATATATAGAATGGCTTTAGGAGTGGAAGAGAGCTACTTGTGAGTGGGGAGTTTTTAGGTGATTTATTATCGTTTGGGAGTAATTTTTTTTGTTTTTTGGATCAATAACTCAACCTTTTATTAATTAATATAGTGGAAGATACAATGCATTAATACAGTCGGACTGTGAGAGATAAAACCTCTTATTTCTCCCCCTACAAACAGGTTCCTTACAGTTGTGCCCAGAAAAGTGAATCTCTATCCACCCCTTGTTTAGCTAAGGCATCTGCTACAGAATTAGCAGATCTTTTAACCCACCCAACCACTATTTCCATATCTCTGGTTAGCCACCTGATCTTCTTCCTTTCATTGTTGAAAACCCACAGTTCTGATCCCCCATTTTGTAACCAGCTAATCACCAGTTTGGAGTCTCCTTCCACAAATAACTTTTGGATGTTCAATTGTTTTGCCTTTTGAATGCCTTCCACTACTGCCAACACTTCTGCTCTCAGGGAGTCTCCTCCAACTGGCCCCGAGAACATAGCGATGACTTTTCCCTCCTCATCTCTAAAAATACCTACAATACCTGAAGGTCCAGGATTCCCCAAGCTGCTACCATCAAGTTTAAGCTTGATAAAAACCTCTGTTTGGGAGTAATGTTTTATTAATATTTACAAGCTTATTCAACTTGAGTTAGGTGATAAAAGGTTATCATATATTAGGGGTAAGAGGCTAATAACTGCATTTACCTGGGTAAGATTTTTGCAAATATTTCTCTTGGTAATTGCTTTTGTCTGCATTTTTGCTTAGATATTTTTGAGGCATACAATCTTAGCATTAACAAAAATTAATGTACTCAGGTGTTGTTGTTTACGAATACGAGTTGAAGATTGGTTGGGGTAAGTCTGTCTCTCTTCCAGCACAAGCTTTGCCTGCTCCTCCACCTGGACATATGGCCATCAGGAGTAAGGAGGTTGGTTATGATACCATTTTTGCATTATTTTTCCTCTTCCTTATAGGCATTAATGTCTTCCAATGTTTATGCCTACGTACATGGTTTCCATTTAGAGTATAATTGAAATGTTTTCTTTTTCTCTGAATACTCTTGGCTTGCGTTAGCATGCCTACTTAGTCTTGTTTTCCCACAAGTCCCTTATTATGATACTGAAGCCCATAGAATGTTTGACAGGGTGGCACTGTGATTTTGTCTGGTCCTGATGGTCCACCAGTTACTTCCGTTACAAGCCAGAGTTCTGAACTGGTATGTTAGATGAATTACTTAGAGTTCTATTTCAGTTATTTTTTTTTCTTTTTTATTATATTTCTAGTTATCAAGGTTATTTTTGGCGTATATGTACATGAACTAGTTTCTTATGTTAACATTATATGATAGGTGTCATGTCTGCAACATGTTAACTGCTTCCATTAATCTTGTAATTATTCATACTTAACTTGGAACCAACATATCCTGTCTTTTACCATTGTTACTGGCTGAAAGGTAGATCCTACATCAACTGTAAAAGGGATGGACCTCACTGTCAAGGAATTCTGTTAGTTTTGAAAGGTTTTACACCATATGGTTTGATCTTTTGCATTTTTTTCTCTTAATCATCTGCAGATAACATGCAACTGTTGTTTATAATTTCACATATTGGAACACTCTCCCTTTATTATTTTTTCCAATGTTTTGGCTCCTAATACTAGCTCATCTGTTGTTTATTCAGAAAAGACAATAAAGAGATTTTTTCAAGCAATCATTTTCTTATTTTGGAAGAGTCAATTTTTCTTGGTACTTCTTGATTTCAATTCCCATCTTGTAAATCTTGACAACCTCTACTCTTTTGTTACATTAAACCCAGTAATAAATATTTGATTTGACTTTTTTTGATCAATAACATAACCTTTTATTAAATGAAGGGAAAAAGTACAAAGAAAGCTAGGGGAGAGGTAAATTCTCATAACCCTCCCCTAGAAGAAAACAGAAAAATTTACAACATAGCACAGAAGTACCAAAGGAGTTGGCACTTCTGAAACAGAAAAATTTACAACACAGCACAGAAGTACCAAAGGAGTTAGCACTTCTCTTTATCCACTGTATCTGAATTTCCATACCATGGACTAACCATTTGAACTTCCTTTTTTCATTAGAAAACTTCCATAACCCATTATCCTCCTTTTGCAATCATCCTATAACCAATTTTGAGTCACCTTCAACAATACACTTTCAAAGTTTAGTTCCTTTGCCTTCTTTAACCCCTCCATTACCGCCAATGTCTCAGATCTAAGTGAATCACCTAAACCAATAGGACCAGAGAATAAAGCAATGACTTTTCCTCCCTCATCTTTGAAAACTCCTCCAATGCCAAAAAGCCCCGGGTTACCTTCACTGCTTCCATCAAATCCAGAAGCTGGTGGGGATAATAGGATTAGTTTCGGTTTTGAGTGGAGCTGAACTAGCCACTTCCTTCCAATTCCTAATTATCATATCTGCAGATATATCCTCAAATAGTTCCAGAGATTTCACCGAATGCACCAGTCTAATGGTTACTACTACAATAATGGCATCTGTATTCCTTTCCATTTCTGAAAAAAAATCCTTGAGTTTCTTTCTTCCCAGATTGTCCAATAAATTGCAGATTTTATACATCTCCATAATATTCTACCTCTTTTCTTTGGCAACCTAACAAAGGAAGAAGTAAACTAGCTTTGTACATTTGGCAAGGGGTGGGGGACCTACAATCAAACAAAGAGAGAATAAGTGATAGCAGCTCTCACCATTAGCCTTAGAAAGATACACCAATTAGGGGATAAGCACCAATTAGCTCTTTTTCTTTAGAGTAAATTGCAAGTGTTGCACCTTCCAAGAAAGCTTCTCAACAAAAAGAACTGGTTTGCCCCCAAACATCCATGACTGGAAAGGTTTTCCCAATATTATAATTATTTGATTTAATTGACTAATTGGAAGACCTGACTAGGAGCTATTTGAAAAAAAAAACTTTTGGCTGGTGTTTTTTTCTTTCTTTTTAAATCAATTTGCATAGCAGAAAGTGATAGGGCTTGGTTTCATGTTATGCAACATTATCAAAATGTTCCCTAATTAGTTCCAGCAGACCAGTATCAATTCAGTTTTACATGGATAATAGGTTAAGCACATTTAAGTATCTTATGAAAAATTTCCTTTTTAAGAAAATGTGGTTTCATGATGCTGAAGCATCCTGCATCTGGAGGCCTTTGTGTCTAATCTTACATCTTTTGCCCTTTTTTTTTTTCATTTCATCTACTATGCCTTCAGTCTATAAGATAACAAATATAACCATTGACAGCTTTTTCTTCTGATATGATGTACATTTTTGTTTTTTGATAGGTAACTACAACTTTTATTGCAATGTATGTAATAGATTAAATATGTACATGATAGCATGCAACACACTATATAGGCTGCATATACTCCACCTATCCCATTACATTATGAGGGTCCTACATTTCTGTCCAAAAGAATTGCTGTCTATTTGCCCCTGGTTTTAAATTTGGATATGATGCACCTTATTTATCTATTTATTTTTGGGATACCAAAGTGCAAGTGAATCGAGAAGGGAAAATCCAATGGGATGTTCAAAAACTTTGACATTTGAACCATGAAAAGAATCAAAGATAAAGAACTTGTAGTTGGGGGACTCTTCTACATATGCATGACTAGATCAGTTATATCCTATGCAGTTAGTGTGGTAAGTCAGTACATGCATGCACCCTTTACATCACATCTGACTGCAGTAGAAAGGATTCTTGCCTATCTAAAGGGAAGTCCAGGTAAAGGGATTTTATACACAACGCATGATCACTTAGAGGTAGAGGTTTACATTTGTGTTGATTGGGATGGATCCCTTGATGATAAAAGGTTCACCTCTGGGTATTGTGCCTTTGTTAGAGGAAATATGGTGTCTTGTAATAGCAAGGAGCAAAATGTGGTGGCAAGATCTAGTCTTGAATCAGAATATTGTGCCATGGATGATGTCTCATGGTTTGTTTGAGGCATTGTGGCTGAAATCATTATTAGGGAAGATAGGTGTGTCTGTTTAGTGTCTAAATGCCATTATAACAATAAGGCAGCCATTAATATTGCACACAATCGGTACAGCGTGATAGGACCAATCATATAGAAGTTGATCGGTATTTTATATGGGAAAAAGTGTTTATTGGTGATGTTTGCATTCCTTTTGTGAAGATAGATGAGCAGTGGGCAGACATAATAACTAAGATAGTTTCCAAAGCAGCTCTAAGATTCACACTTAGCAAGTTGGGCATGATTGGCATATATGTTCAGCTTGGGGGGGAGTGTAGGAAAGAATAAATTGTTTTATGTTTCAGCATATTTATGTTTGTTAGTAGGTGTTTGTGGGCTTTTTTACTTTGTTCTTTTTATTCTTTAGTTATGGGCCTGTTTTTAAGGGTTGGTGTGTTGGACCTCTTTTTAATTGTTATGAAGTTTTTGTGTTGCTGCCTTTCCAGGGGCAGATCTGTAATTTTACTCCTGATTGCTAATGCATAAAAAGAGATGGGTTCTCAATTGAGTCCCACAATCTGTTACTCTCATTCCCACTTCTCTTTTTTCTTGTCTCTATCTCTCTAATCTATTGTCCTTCTACTGAAACCTGTCTTACCATTAGCCTATTATGATTGGTGAGGAAGAGTTGGGAAATACAGGGCCTGCCCGGTTCAGATTTGAAAATATGTGGCTACACCACCCGTGTTTTATTAATAAAATCAAGGATTGGTGGATAGAGAGTGAGCCTATAGTAGAATGGAATGGAATGAGGTTCCATAAGAAGCTACAATTCTTGAAGGGTAAAATTAAGGAATGGAATAATTTAGAATTTGGGAGGTTAGAAGAAAGAAAGCAAGCTGTGATTGGCCAACTGGAAGATTTGGATGTGAAGGAGGGGAGGGGTTGTATTACACAGGAGGGCAAAGAACAAAGGTGGAAATTGCAAAAACAACTGGAGGATGTTCAAGGAGGAAATTAGCTGGAAACAAAAGTCAAGGTGTAAATGGTTGAAGGAGGGGATCACTTTATCTAATCAGGGTGAGATTGCTAGGGTGTTTGCAAACCATTTCAGATCTATCTATAGAAAACCCTTAAATAATAGGGTGTGGGTTGAGGGGATGGAATGGCCAAACCTAAGCTTAGAAGATGGGGAATGGTTGGAGGGAAAATTTGAGGTGGAGGAAGTAAAGGAGGCAATATTTTCCATGGATAGGTCAAAGGCTCCAGGCCCAGATGGTTTTACAATGGCATTTTATCAGGACTATTGGGTGATTTTGAAAGGAGATTTAATGCTGGTCTTTGATGAGTTTCATAGAAGAGTGATTAATCCGGGGTTGAATTCCACATTCATTGCTTTGGTTCCCAAGAAAAGAGAAGCAACACACTAAGGGATTATAGACAAATCAGTCTAGTTAATAGTCTGTATAAGATCATTGCAAAGGTTTTGTCCCTTAGGATTAGACAGGTGCTCAATACCATTATTTCAAATAACCAAGGAGCTTTTGTGAGGGGAAGGCAAATAACCGATCAAATACTTATAGCAAAAGAGAGTGTGGAGGATTTTAAGAAATCAAGGAAAAAGGGTGTGGTTTGTAAGCTAGATTTGGTAGACTGGTCCTTTTTGCTGGAGGTGATGACCAACTTTGGGTTTGGAGATAGATGGTGTAGGTGGGTTTTGGGGTGTATTAGGACTTGCCATTACTCTATTTTGGTGAATGGAATGGTGATGGACTTTTTCCTAGCATTGAGGGGAATAAGACAAGGAGACCCCCTTTCTCCTTTCTTGTTCACTTTGGTTGCTGAAGTCTTAGGGAGATTGATCTTTAGGGCGGATTCTAGAGGGCTAATCAAAGGGTGGAGAGTTGGTAGGGAGAACATACCACTTACACATTTGTAGTTTGCAGATGATACGATTCTCTTCTGTGAGGGAGGGGACATGAATTGGATTAGGAATTTGAAACTTACAATACAACTCTTTGAGCAAATGTCAAATTTGAAGGTAAACTTTGATAAAAGTTGTGTTGTAGGTGTCACTATGGGGGAAAGTGAGATCCTTGCGTGTGCAAACATTTTGGAGTGTGAAGTGTCAAATTGGCCTCTAATTTATCTTGGTCTTCCCCTAGGAGATAATCCTCAAAAAGGAAGTTTTGGGATCTCAGTCGTGGAGAGGTTTGAGAAGAGACTTGCATCTTAGAAGAAAAACTCTCTCTCTTGGAGGAAGAATCACCTTAATTAGCTCTACTCTAGCTAACTTGCCCATTTATTACCTTTCAGTTTTTAAGGTGCCTACAGGGGTGGCTAGTAAGTTGGAAAAGCTAATGAGAGATTTCTTGTGGGAGCCAAGGGAGGAGAAAAAGGGCCATAGGGTTAGATGGGAGATGGTGTGTAGGAGTAAGCAGGATGGAGGGCTAGGCATTGGGAACATAAGGAAGAGGAATTTGGCTTTACTAGGGAAATGGCTATGGAGATTTTCATCGGAGAAGGAAAAATTGTGGGCTAAGATAATTTGTAGTATTCATGGGCTTGCAGAGAATGGTTGGACTTTGGGATTCTGGCTATGTCTACAAGAGCATCACCTTGGAAATCAATCCAAGCTATTTTGCCTCTATTTTCTCCTTGGATCAGGTATGATGTACACTCGGGTAACCTCATAAAGTTTTGGGAACATGTTTGGGTTGGGGAGTCTCCTTTGAAAGACCAATTTCCGGTTCCACTTTCAAAAATGAACCAATTGCCACATTCCTTGTTCCCTCAAATTCAAATTCTGGGTTTGGTTGGAATTTGGGCTTGAGAAGAGCACTCAGGGATACAGAATTGGATAGTACCTCAACTCTCTTGTCCATTCTTGATGGGATTTTCTTGGAGCCTACAAAAACATATAGAAGGATTTGGACTTTATCTCCTTCCGGATCCTTTTCTTGTGCCTCCTTCTTTAAAGCCCTAATACAACCGGAAATTCCTATTGGTTTGTCATTCCCTATTAAGGAAGTGTTGTGTCAACCTATAACTCCGAGGGTTGGAAGTTTCTATTGGGAAGCTTTCTTGGAAAGAGTTAACACAGGTGATTTACTTCAAAGAAAAAGACCCAATAGCTGTTTACCTCCACACTGGTGTGTTCTTTGCAAAGCTACTAGTGAGTCTGGTTACCACTTACTAATATCCTGTGTTTTGGCAAAAAATATTTGGGAATGGTTTGCTTCTTTGTTTGGATGCAGGTGGATTTCCCCAACAAACGTGCAAAGCTTGTTTTCCTCTTCCTCTGTTGACTGTTCAACGAAAAGATCAAGAATCATGTGGAGATGTGTGAGAGTTGCTGTTTGTTGGACAATATGGGAAGAAATAAATTCAAGGATCTTTTCAGAAAAGGAGAGGTTTGGAAACTATGCTAGAAGTGATTCATATAAGGGTAATATATTGGCTGAAAACAATGGATGAGTTCACAGATTTTTCAACAGATGATATGTTAAGAAAATGGAAAGAAATTGCTAGTTCAGCCTCAAGTAAGAAGACCTCGAATCTCACATGGAACCCTTCACCTCCTGGTTTTATCAAACTAAATTTTGATGGCGGCAGCATGGGAAATCCAAGGCCTTCGGGTATTGGGGGAGTGCTAAGAGATGAGAAAGGTATTGTAATTGCTATGTTCTCTGGCTCTATTGGAGTGGGAGACTCTTTGAGGGCTGAGGTGTTAGCAGCTTTGGAAGGGGTACAAAGGGCCAAAGATCTTAATGTCAAGAAGTTGATTGTAGAGGGAGATTCTGCGATTGTAGTGGACTGGCTAAAAGAAGACACCTCTAAGATGTGGAGCTACAGTAATGAAAAGTGAAAGTTCAAATGGCTGATCAAGAATATGGAAGTTCAGTGTACTTGGGTAAAGGGAAATGCCAACTCTTTTGCTGATGGATTAGCTAGGCAAGGGGTTAATAGGGTTTCTGGGTTCTGGGCTCAATTGTAATTGTTGTTTTAATCAGTTTGAGTGCATTCCCAACTTCTGGGGAGTTAAGATACGTTAGCTCCTATTCTTTGTAAGTTTACTACCATTTAATGAAATCTGTGGTTATTGATAAAAAAACTTGTCTTCACAATTGAAGTTAAGTGATTTCTTCAATCTAAACCAGGTTGTTTGGTTGACAACTATTATATACTAAATTTGTTTTCGTTTCTGATGAAATTGTGTTTGTTATGTTTTAACATTGTTTGTAGGTTCTTACTCCAAATGTTCCTGATATAATGGTTATTCCCCCTAAAGATGATCACCTCTGCCATGTGATTGATACAATGGCTCTGCATGTGCTTGATGGAGGATGTGCTTTTGAGCAAGCTATAATGGAGAGAGGTCGCGGTAATCCACTTTTCAACTTCTTGTTTGAACTTGGGTCAAAAGAGCATACATACTATGTTTGGAGGTTGTACTCTTTTGCACAGGTACAACTTGTTGCATTTCTGATTGGACTTCAAAGTACTATAAATTTCTTTGGGTCATTTGTGTTAGCAATGGAGGCATGATATCTCAAATTAGCATAGCTCATAAATTTCTTGTGCTTCACAAATGTAGGGTGATACTCTTCAGAGGTGGCGAATAGAGCCTTTCATCATGATAACTGGGAGTGGGAGGTAATGACCTTGTGCAATTTACTTGTAATTAGCCTTTTATCTGCAAATTATTTAGTCTTATGTACATGATAACCTAATTATATGGTTCATTTCATCTTTTCCATTTTTGTGTTCAGATGGATACCACCACCTCTGCCACAAGTCAAGAGCCCAGATCATGAAAAAGAGTCTGGTACAACATTTGCAGCTGGAAGAAGCAGGGTATTTGTTCTTTATTTTGCTTTGAAGTGCTTCTGTTCAATGCTTGGGATAATTCCGGATACAGATAATCTAGTCATAAGAAGGGCTATTACCCAATGTCAGTCTCACAGTTTTGGGAAGGATGACTTAAGATAGACTAACCTCTAGCCTTTTCTTTTTCTTTCTTTTTTGTAAATTTTTTGACACAAAGTTGCCTCTCTCAGACTTGAACCCACATTCTCATGCTTGTCACCCAATATTTTACCATTGCCCGTGCAATGACTCTTTACAGATAATATTATCATGTCCCTCTCTTTTCGAATAAAGTTAGCCTTTTTTCAAAAAAAAAAAAAAATCATGTCATATAAATATCTTGTGGACTGTCAGTGAAGAATATTTATCTGATTATGTATTATTTTTCCCTTACTGGCCTCTACAGCGTGTGGAACTGGAACAAACATTGACAGATCAACAGAGAGATGAATTTGAGGATATGCTACGAGCCTTGACATTAGAAAGGAGTCAGATAAAAGAAGCTATGGGATTTGCTTTAGATAATGCTGAAGCAGCAGGGGAGGTAATTCTGATACTGCATTTATTCATAACTGTTCTTGTTTCCAGGTCTGTGCATGGAGGGCTAACTATTCTAATTAAAGCATGGGATTTTGGAACTTGGAACGTTTAAGACTTTATGCAACTCAATATTCTTCCTCATTTCAAGGTCTCTGAGATATTGCGTGTGTTGTAAGGCTTAAGTGTTCCTTGTAACTGATGTTAGTGGGACAGTTTCAGCTACTAGTCCTTTCTTTCTTTTTTTCTTATTGTTCTTATCCTAGGATATGCCGCTAGGGGCATACTTGTAATTTTGTCTTTTTTATAAAGATTAATATAAATAGAAGACTGGCGGCAGCCAGTACTGAGTTTGCTTTTCTTTCTATCATCCGTACCTCTCTTTCTCTCTCTCTCTCTCAATCACCACAAGGAACATGGTATCAGAGCAGAATTTCTGGGCTGGAGAAGACCTACGATCCTAGCATCAGCCTTTCAAAAGAGGATTGGACGTGGCTACTTTTCTATCAAAAAAAAAAAAAAAAACCCTAGCGGCGGCTGGTCTCAGTTCTCTCTGGCGGCTGCACTTACAAAAACCCTAGTGGTGGCTTGTGTTTTCAATCTTCTCTGGCGGTTGTGCTTGCAGAAACCCTAGTAAGTCCTGCGGCTGTACTTCTATTGAAACCCTAGTGGCCCCAAGCGACAATTACTGAAAAACCCTAGCTGTGTTTGGCCGTGGGATGGTGCTGGTCTGCTGAAACCCTAATCGAAGGAGGGTGTTGATGGTGCAATGAAACCTTAGCAGGTTCTGATCTAGTGCTGAACAGGTGTGGTTTTGTTTTAGTTTATCTCAATATTCTTTATCCAATGGTGCGTAGGGCTTATGCCTTGATTATATGATTACTAGTTTGAATAATTGGATGGTTAGAGTGGGGGAACCACAATCAGACTGACAGTAATGTCTGGATTGGTGGTGTTGAACCGATGACCGGACTATTTATTGTTCTGTTTGGACGTTGTAGTGACTGATCTCTTATTCTTAGCAGTAGTTTTTGTGCTCTCAGCAATATTCACTAGTTTGTTGCTCACATTCTAGGAGTAAACCCTGAGTTGCCACATTCCAGTTGTGGCGGTTGTGCTGTTAGGTGGCATTTGGACTGGTTGGTTGTAATATTCAATGGCAAGTCATGAACTGACCTCACCGGGGAACACCCCAACCCGCAACACAGCAGGTATGGGAGGTCAAACCATGGTTTTTTCCATGCCAATTACCCCCTTGAACGGTCTGAACTACCTGGAGTGGGCTAAGAGTGTAAAACTCTATGTAACGGCAAGGGGTAAGGCTGGTTACATCAATGGAAGGGTGAAAGAACCCAATGGTGAGACAGCTGAACATGATAGGTGGGACCAAGAAAACAGTATGGTGATGTCTTGGCTCCTCGYAGCCATGGAACTTGATGTGAAAAAGATTTTTATGTGGGCAGACACCGCTAGTGAGATCTGGGAACAGGCCAGAATTACCTATTCTGAGCAAAGGCATTATGCCAAGATTTACCTACTACAAGCTGAGTCCTCAACATGTAAACAGGGAAACCGTAGCTTGTCCTCATATTATTCAGCTCTTACCTCTATATGGAAGGAGTTGGACCATTATCAGGCCATAGAGTGGAAGCACGATGATGATGCTAAGGCCTACAGGAAACTGATCTCTCAGCAACGAGTGTTTGCTTTCTTGTTAGGGYTGAACCCTGTATATGAACCATTAAGGGTGCAGATCCTAGGAAGCAAAGAATTGCCTACAGTACACGAAGTATATTCCCTTGTCCAATTTGAAGAAAGCAGGCGAAGTGTGATGGTTACAGCTGAGGGGGAGCAACAAGTTGCCTTGGCTGCGGTGAATAATAGCTCAACAGGGAAGAAAAGTGATCATAAGAAGGCAGATGATAAAGATAAACTCTTTTGTACCCATTGTAGAAGGTCACGACATACACATGACACCTGTTGGGACATCCACGGGAAACCCAAGTGGGCAGCAAAGAATCAAGAACAGGGTAAAGGTCACKTGAAAAGAACGAGTGCAACACATGTGGCAACCCAAGACACTCAGGTTGCCGGTAGTACCTGGGACCCTCCTAATAAGCCTGACCCCAAGGAGGATATAATGAATTCATTCAGAGAGCATCTGAAATCTTATGGTAGGGCATTG